CCGCCGAGCTCGCTTAACACTACCCGTGATTATAACAGATGTATAAACTAACAGACTCATTTGTTATGTGTGTGCATTGTGCGTGTGTGTGTGTCGTGTGTGTGTGTGTGTGTGTGTGTGTGTGTGGTGGGGGGGCAGGCTGCGTGCGTGCGTGCGTGTGTGTGTGGTAGGGGTGGGGGGGCCGTGCCGTGGCATGTGTGCGTGCGTGTGTGTGGGTGTGTGTGTGTGGCGTGTGTGTGTGTGTTCGCGCGCGCATGTATGTAGTGTGTGTGTGTTGCGGCGGTTGGCGTGTGCCTTGCATGTGCGTGTGCGTGTGCGTGTGCGTGTACGTGCATGTGCGTGTGCATGTGCCGTTGTGTGCGCGCGCATGCCGCATTAGTGTGTTGTGCGTGCCGTGCTTCGGCCGTGCGTACAAGCGTGTGCGGCGTGCGGTGTATGTCTATTTGTATCATGGAGAAACAAAAAAACTATATTACGTGGTCTGCCATCGAGTAAATCTGAGATAATGCTCTGCCTAGATTGCCGCTGTCAAAGTAACAATTGTCCTAAGGTTGTCGCTGAGCAGGGGGGGGGGGGGCCGTTATTTGAATGGGTTTGCTACGCATATAAACGTTTGTACGCATTTAAAAGACTGTTAGAGTCCGGCTCGTGCTTCGTGCCCCCGAAACGCTATATGCTTTGTGTTCACTCTGTCTACGACCAATTTCCGTGGTCCTTCGTGGAAGATAGAAGATACGAACTGCCAGGCCGACAGCGAAATTACCGAGGTCAGTTTATCACGACCCGCCATGAACTTGAAGGTTTAGGAAGCAGTTTCGGCGACATCTGTCGCAGGATTGGAAACACACCTCGGGGTGCCACACGCCCCACCTGCATGCATTAGTTGCATAAAATATTGTATAGGCCAATGATTCCATATTGCCATCAAGCAGGGATACACGCCCATGGGCAGCCAAAGCATCGCTCATGCTATAACAATAAAATGGCCTAAGCTAAAAAGACATTATATTCCATTCTCCGGCGTTGGTGGAAAGATCACTCATAAAAACTAAGCCTCATAAAAAAGACTTCACTGAATGGCTGACAGAGCCAAGCAGCTTACAGAGAGTTGTGTGACTGCGAGGGGAGACAGTTTGTAGAAATCAATAGGTAAAGACAGCGAGCCACATATGAGGCAACGTCTGAGAGTTCCAACATCTGTCAAACGATCCTTTAAATTCCTTTTTCTGTTCGTTTCAGCGGATAGATCTACTCCAGCTACGTCGGCACTGCCAACAAGCCTCGGGATAAAGCAAAGCCAGCATAACCTTGCGGACTATATTGTAGTTCACAGCACTGTGCATGTACAGCTGCATTTAGCTACAGCGTACCCATAACAAATCCGCCGCATAAAGAACACAACCGCGCAAAAAAGCGGTTTTGCTGCGTTTTGCTGTATATAAACCTATTGTTTAGGAAGAATTTCGATCACTCTCAGCTAATTACGAGTCATATAGTTAACTTCAACAACATTGCGAGGTATTTCAAAATAGCTTTGTATAAGACACACGCTGCAGTAAAATGGGCGAGGAACTAGAGTTTATTTTGTCATAAGGTAGTGTGATTAGGCAGGCACGGAAGTATTTTGCTAGTCTAGTACCTGGAGGTAATTAAGCGTTTGGATGCGCATGTGAGCCTTAAGGGTAATAATAGCTGTATAAGTTATAGTTTTTAGTCTAATATAATAGTTATTGCTACATTTTTGGCCAGTGCCGTGTTGACCTTGGCCTATCTGAAAATAGCAGGCCGGTAACATCTATAGCAACTCAATTTTTGGCTGTTGTAAGCGGAGTACAAAAGCCACGTGCGTAGCGGTAGTATGGCATGGCCCAAAGTTTTAGCGCGAGATCTCACAAGACCTACATGCACCAATTAAGGCCACGCCCCTTTTATATCGAATTGTGTCTCTTGATAGACTGGATGTGATCTATGCTTCAAACGTTATTTAAAAAACACAAGTTTTTAAATTAAAATACCTCAAGGCAAGTAATAAAGTGTAATATGGTAAAATAGTATTGTTTACTGTTTTTATTCAAGAAATATTGATAGCTGGGGTTCAGCATAGGGATTCGAGGCGCTGGTCCGCCCCGTTGCTAATAGCGGCCCTAAATAGCGTTTGGTTGCACGCGGAAAAAGCCATCGCGTAATGTGCAAAGTTGAGATGTTCTATAACGTCTATGTCGTAGTAGTGAAATGAGCGCTTACGCAACACAATTGAATTTACTTTTCACAAATTTAGAATTACCGATATTAGCCAAGTGCTGTACGTGTTCAAACTTCTATGTCCACCCCCCCCACCCTTTTTTTAAGGGGGGGGCTCTATCGAAAATACGAATCAACAATAAGATTAGGCATATGGCTAGTCTATGTAGATGGCTATCCGCTATGACACTTATGATGAAGTAAGTTTGACGTTTCAACACACGGGCGAGAAAACTTTGGCAAGAAACTATTACGATTATAATATACATATGTGGTATATTAATAAGTATCATATCATATATACCTATATACTAGTATATATGTTATATATACTACTGATATATATATAGTATATAATATATATATATATATATATATACTATATTATGTATTTAAAGCTACATGGGTATTAGTGGTAATAATTGCATGGTTACAGTTTATCGTTAATGACGAGCGACTGTGGCGAGCGACAGTACTGCTCAAGGAGAAACTGGCGGCTATTACAATATTTGAAAAGCGGAAGTACACACCATCGAAGACTAGAGACCATGCCGCCGCTGAATAATAACTATGCGCTCTCTACCTTTTATCGATACGGTTTACGACTATTAGCAAAGCTCGGTGGAGACTATTGCGAATCACGTTGCATGTTATCGCAGAAACATATGCACAAGCAAACAGAACGCTGACTCACAATTAATATTTGTTATAAGCGAGGTGGCCATTGCTATGCAGATTGTGTTGTTATGAGAGCAAGCGACACTATGGGGTAATCGTACGCAAATAAACAGAAGCGCGGGCCAACAAAACAAAAACCGTTTGATTCAGCCGGTAAAAATGCAGTAGCAGAATACATAACTCGCTTGCAATTGACGATAAGTTACCAGTTTCGCGCGCAACGAAGTGTTTACTGAGAACGTACGCGCGACGCAATTTTGGAACACGAAGCAGTCACCGGGCTTTCGCCGTAAACAGTCAGTATGGAATCGATAAGCTATATCGCATTAGGCGGAAACCTGAATAGGAGATATGTCGGCTCGCCAAATTGCCTATCTGCTGACAGGCTAGAAGTATCGGACCGGTCGTGTACAACTGGCATAGGCTGTATGAACGCATTGAGCGCCGCACGCCGATAAGTGAGCCTACACTTTCGGGGCTACTGTCGACGCCGCATTCAAATGCGTGACGACCTTCGTTCAGTATCTGGCCGCATGTGAGTAGCCGTACAGGTCAGCCACTCCGTGAGGGCGATGGGGGGCACAACGATAAGGATTCTTGCATATTGCATCACCGACGATTCTAATGTCCATAACCTATACGAGGAGAACGTCGTCAGATCGAGTATTTCGCCTGCACAGTCATTACGGGTGATGTGGGAGACCGACAAGGCGGACGCACGCTCGACTACACGCAGCGTAGTCACCGCCGAGCGAGCGACGACAATAAGGTGGGAGTCGGCGATGCGTCGCCGACGGAAAAAAAACATCCGAAGATCGTATCATTTATAATATGTTCGTATATCGTTCGCTATTCGTGCCGGCAGGAGTATAGATGAGAGAGATCGTAATGCCTGACGGAGTACGACGCTGGACATCGAGAGACAGGATGTCTTATAATTGAAATGCTAGGAAAATCGATGATTGACAATGACGACGATCGGACTGCGAGCGCCTGAGCGAAAAAAAAAAGGATGCTGCTGCTGGAAGTAAATGCCAAAGAAATATAAACATGGCAGACTACGAACTTATTTATGCACGAACCTACAGTAATGCTCGCGTTACGATAATTCGGGTAACGTAAAATTTGCAGCATACGAATTTGTTATATTATCACGAAAATTCGCTCTTATACCTAATCTGATGAAAGGAATGAATGCCGCTTTTCACTCAGGAAAGTGGCGTGTTTTAGTCGCCGTAAATAAATTTTAAACAAAATGCAGACCTGCCCTGCTAACACGTCGGCCATCTGTCTCATCAAAAAGTTGGATCTTAACCACACGCCACATGTGCATGAATTTAGCCATGTTTCTGCAGACCAGTCCCATCGCGCTCTCAGTATATTCCATTTACATGGTTAATTCTTATTTCAAGAGCCCAACTGATTTAACGATCCGGGAATCTAACGGAGAGCTGTTCAAGTAGAAGGACCCGCGTAAGCGCCAACGCAACTTAGGAGAACTTAAAAAAAAATGAAAATAAAGTATAAAAGTAAAGAGCCTGTATCTGAGGGGCGGGGGGCTAAACCACTCACCCATAACCAAACACATCACCAATCCACCTCAGAGGAGGTACATTCCCTCATCTGGAATATCAGGTAACGCGTCGGAGAACGATTTTATGAAAAATATATATATAATAACAATCCATGCATCTGGCATCAGAGCTTATAATGACATTAGTAATGATCGTT